GACACCCGGACAGAACCCCCTACGGCAACCCCCATACCGTATCCCTGAAGCAGTCCGAGAAGGAATGCGGAAGGAGATACAGGAAATGACCAGACTGGGGGTTATCGAACATTCGGACAGTCCTTGGGCCTCGCCTGTAGTTCTGGTGCCTAAGAAAGATGGGACCACCCGGTTCTGTGTGGACTACAGGCGGCTCAACGAGCGGACCACCACTGACGCCTACCCTATGCCCCGGGTAGACGAGTTATTAGACCGTATTGCCAGGGGGCGCTATCTGACCACCATAGACCTGTGCAAAGGCTATTGGCAGATCCCCCTGGCCGAGGATGCTATCCCTAAGTCGGCATTCGTCACCCCATTTGGCCTGTACCAGTTTAAGGTTATGCCATTTGGGATGAAGAATGCTCCGGCTACTTTCCAGCGTATGGTGGATAGGCTCCTCGATGGCTTCCAGGACTTTGCATGTGCATACCTGGATGACATTGCGGTCTACAGTGAGTCCTGGGAAGACCATTTAGTACACGTGGGGGTGGTGCTGGACAAGATTCGGGCCGCAGGCCTGACCTTGAAGCCAGACAAGTGCCATCTAGGCATGGCAGAAGTACAGTACTTGGGTCACAGAGTAGGCTGTGGGAGCCAGAGACCGGAGCCAGCCAAGGTAGAGGCTGTAGCTAACTGGCCCACACCTATCACCAAGACCCAAGTGCTAGCTTTCCTGGGGACGGCAGGGTACTACCGACGTTTTGTCCCCGACTACAGTACGGTTGCCAAGCCCTTGACTGACCTGACTAAGAAGAATTTGCCTAAACAGGTCCTGTGGTCTCCAGCTTGTGAAGCCGCGTTTCAGGCACTGAAGCAAGCTCTTGTTAATGCTCCTGTCCTGGCTGCCCCAGTCCCTAACAAACGTTTTCTTGTACATACAGATGCTTCCATGTATGGACTGGGGGCTGTGCTAAGCCAGGTCGGGGAAGATGGAGGAGAGCACCCTGTCGCATACTTAAGCAGAAAGTTACTACCCCGGGAAGTAAGTTATGCGGCAGTGGAAAAAGAGTGTTTAGCCCTGGTCTGGGCACTGAAGAAACTGAGCCCTTATCTGTATGGACAAGAATTTTCCCTTATTACGGACCATAACCCCCTCGTGTGGCTTAACCGGGTCTCAGGAGACAATGGCAGACTGCTGAGGTGGAGTTTGGCACTACAGCCATATAACTTCACCATCAGCTACCGACCCGGTAAGCAGAATGGGAATGCAGATGGGTTATCTCGGCAAACAGACGTCCCTACTCCTCCTCAGTCCGGTCATCCCCAAGTTGACCCGCCAAAGGGTCAAGCCGGGTCTGCCGGAGTGTTCCACAAGGGGGGAGCCGTGTGACAGACCCATCTGTCTGGATTATAACTGCGTTGTTCGTCTGTTTTGCCGTTTTCATGAATTTCCCCGTTCGTATGCTTTGTTTAAGGGAATGTCGGTTTTGTCGAACGGAACTACCGAACGGACGGCCACCCAGAAGAGAAGTGTGCTGCTGGTTAACCTATTGATCCCAATTAGAACGTTGCGGTTAACCACAGACACTTCTCAATTAAAAACCGAATGCCGGGTGGTCGTCGTTCGTATGTCGACCACGAGGCGGCGGCCATTTTGTCCATGCGAACGACCAGCGGTGTTCAACGATTATTTCATGGATCGGAAAACGGACACTTTTTCAGCCGAACACCGCTGAAGCCGTCGACCTCCCCTTCTCAATCGACAAAAGCATGCGAACGACAGCCGTTCGGGAGATTCAACCACACGAATGGACTTAACCCAGATAGCCGTCCCATGGAGTCAATCGCATACCGAAGAACTGAAAGAGACTTTGACTCCATGGCGATTGAACTGTGCGAATGGGATCTGAGCGCCATTCTCCAATAATGTGCCCTCAGATCCAGGCTATCTGGGGATATGCAAGACTGATGTAAAATGTTCAGCAGTTATTAAGTTATGGATTTTTGTGTGTTTTTATAACTTGTATCTAAAATGGCGATTGCCTCTGCTCGGGGAGATAATTGAATTACTTCCCAATTGTTCCCCGAGCAGAGGGGAGGGAACTGTACTGCATGCTGGGAATATTGTGGGGATGTATGTCCAGAATGTCCCCATGTCCCTCTGTGATTTCAGTCTCCCATTTGGTCCCCTAGGGGAGTGTCCACCAAGTGGGAGACCTGCATAAATACCGGGCAGGTAGCCCACAGTAAACCAGTTCGTGTTTTACCCTCAAAGCGGAGCTTGGTCTCGTTATTGGGGGGATTTGGATACTAGCGGCGAGAGACTGCTTACTTGGATTATTTGCCGCTTGGGAGAGATTGTCGTTCGGTTATTAATTGCCGTTCGTGGATTTGCGGCTTGCGAAGGGAATTAGCCGTACAGGTACCGTTCGGGAGTTTGGAGTGTTCCCTGACTGGCGTTCGCATGGTTTTATGATACCCGCTACCCGACCACATTATTGCGAACGGGGAATACTCGCTAAACGGCGGTTTGTACATTTCGTTCCTGGAGGTACTGTAACAGAAGGTGATATTCCTTTAAGAGGGAAATAACATAACTGAGGATCAGCAAAAAAAAAATGGTTTGAAGTAGATACCCAAATGTGGAATATCTGTCACAGAGAAGGTTCCTTGTAGCTGGATAGACCTGTGAAAGGTAAGATAATTTGATTTTGGCGCCTTTAAAAAGGCATGTGACGTCATTGATGACGTCCCCGGACCTATCCTGATCGGCCGCCATGCGCGGAAGCCAGCATGACGCGATTGCTCGTTCGATCATGCGCAGAACGTCCGGAGGACGCTTTGAAAGATGGCGGCTCCCAGAATCGGGAGCCGTCAAAATTATGTCCGCAACAGCTATCCTATACTTCTGCTCCACTGAGTCATACCTGACCAGAGGACAGAAAGGCATAAGGAGAACCTAGATCCTTCAGGTAAACATACTATATGGTAAAAAAAAAACCTTACCTTTTGTTTTCATTCTATAATTTCTGTTATACTCTTCTTGCTCTGTAACAGAGATAGCCAAAAGGTGGAAGGGGGGACCTGACAACCACAAATAATGCCATATACAAACCCTTTAGGAATATATATTAGAAAATATTGTGGATGCCAGATAAAGGATAGAAAAGAAACCCTAGAAGATGAGGCTCTTCTGCCACTTCCTGCTACCGCTTGGTCACTGCAGGGAATTCTTCTTATTGGCAATTTTTTACTTGCTACCCCTAGGGTCACTGCAAGTCGCTCCCGGTCACTAAAGGAGCATCTCCAGGGGATTTACCTTTGCGCAGGGTTTTATACTGGAGACTTCCTAAGGAAGAGAGGCTGAACTCCCATGGGGCCAAAGGTAAAAACCATCAGATAAGCCCCAAAAAAAAATATTGTTGTAGTCTAAAATAACTAGAGTCCTATAGGGATAGGGCAGGAACGAGAAGATGGTGGGAGGGGGTATTTATACCCTTATTTTAAATTAGTTTCTGTCTAATTAGGGATAGGGAGGAGCTAACCCATTGTTGTGCTGCTATTGATATGGCCATGAAATATAAATATATATATATATATATCAGAAATGACCGCACTCCAAGGACTTAATAGAGATTTTCAAATAAAATGTAACTTTTATTTGAAATAATAAAAGTTAAATTTTATTTGAAAATCTCTATAAAGTCCTTTGAGTGCGGTCATTTCTGCTATGTAAAAATGATCCTTGCCAGACCAGCACTGGGCACCACAGGATTACACCAGGAGTGCAAGCCCTTGCTATTTATATACCAGAACAAACAAAGTTGTAGAAAAATAATACACTATGTTGGAGAATTGTTACATAGGATTTACATATTTTTCTGGCTTGTTCTTAAGTTTTTCCTTTTCTTACTCTTTGAGAGATACTGGGAATAAAATCAAAGAAAAAGGTAACTTTTTAGTAGAAAAAAATCAGTATGTTAAGCCACACCTATTCTGTTATTTATGCAAATGAGTATGTTCACATTTAAGAATATTTTACTCCAGAAATTGCTGTTATGTCATTTCAAATGTATTTTTTTTTAAATTTTGATAGATATTCCACTAATCACCTACAATTTAAATCAAAATTCAATAAAAAGTATTTTCTGGAAAATTGAATAGCAAATTATGATGTCACTTTAACCTAAATGCTTGTCTTATCAACCAGGCATATTATGGACATGAAAGCTCTTGTTGTGATTATAGCTCTATTGCTTATTGTTTAACAGCTTTATCTATAGTAAGAAAAAGCTTTTATTTGTTCCAAAAATAAAATAAATATTTAAAACTTTTACTTTCATTAAAATATTCTTTACATTGATTTAAATCCTTGGATATTTCAGTTTACATAGTTGTCAACTAGACTTGGGCACTTCTGAAATGTTTGTTTCATATGAATGCATTCGTACGGAAAAAGTTTTAGTCAGAGCTGAAATTCGTCCATTTTTCCATTCGGTTTCAAAGGAAATTCATTTTTTTTTTCCGTATCGGATAAACCCATTCGTTCATTCGGTGCAATTTAATTGAACCAAATTAATTTAATATAAAAATCAGTTCCCTTAATACCGAATAGCCTTAAATTAACAATGTCAAACCATTCATTTAAAATTTCGTACATTGCTTACAACATGGCATTGAACAATGTTCTATTTCCCTGATTTTACTCCCGAACCGCCAAATGCCCGAACGCTATCAATTGCATGAAAATGTATTGGCACTATTAGTAAACTCCCAAACACTCACTATAGGCATTCACATGCATTGCTTTTTGCTTAGTCTCTTGAATCATCATGCTTCACTGACAGGTGGGAACTGACAACACGATATCATTTTAGAAGGGAGTGGGAAAGTAGCCAATTAAATAAGCCTATACAAAATTGCTATTATACGTATATCTTTTTCTCACATGTTCTAGTATGAAAATATACGGACACAAAAATGTTCTCAAGCATCTAGTTTTTATACAACAAAAGGATAGGGCAGATCACAGCACCTAGAGATCCCACAAAGTAGGTGGATCCTCCAAGGAGTAACCTATACCCCCCAAAAATTGGTCATAATAGTGAAGTTAGGCATCACCCTAACTTGTTATTTTCCTTACTCATTAGTTTAAGGCATACATGACAAGACCACATGCGCTGCATGATTTCTGGGGTACCTCTTAATGAAATTGGTGTGACATACTGAAATACTTTCATGGAACTAACATGGATTTGGCCAACAAACCATTTCCTAATAAAATAGATATATAGCTATTTAATTTTTGTTTTCCAAATGGAAATGAGTTTAATATGTAAGGAAATAGGCACATGCAATAATCAAATATAAAGTAACCTTAATTTGCATATAGCCAACCTTAACCTTCAATTTGAGTGTAAATACTAGATGATGTAGGTAAACCTGGTCAGTTTACTAGACTGGAATGAGTAATTACATGTAACAACTGGACTCATTTTACAATGAGAATCAAATAGGAAAACATTGTAATAGACATATTAATCATGTAAAGCTCATAAATTTCTAGTCTAAGTTCCAAACATTAGGCACTAACCAAGATTCAGTGAATTCATGGACACACCAGCATTGATATATAAACCATATAGAGTATTGAAATAAACATTTACTGTGCAAACGAATATTCTATATCATATAGATCTCCTGACCAGAACACACAAAGTTGTAGAAAAAAATACACTATGTTGGAAAATTGTTACATGTAATTTACATCTTTTTATAGCTTGTTCTTATGTTTTCCCTTTTCTTTCTCTTTGAGAGAAGGAATGTATGTCCTTTTATGACCTGATTGTTGTATGTTATAATTATACGTACAAATCAATTAAAAAAAAGAATTCAGAAACAAATTACAAAGGATATTTGCTGCAACTATTTGTCTAAATCGAACCAAAAAGGCTTCTATGAAATTCCTAAGATCATAGAGAATTATGTGAAATTTCCTGAGCAAGTTCTTTTATCTTTTATTTCATGCCAAAACCCATACCCAAAAAGAGACATGCTAAGTGCATCACTTTGCTTGACAGCATCACATTACTCTGAATTCAAAACAGTAAGAGACAGGTCTGTAATGCTAAAGAATTGAAATTTTAATTGCCCTGCTAGATATTCACACCAAAGCTAAAGGGAAACTGGCAATTTTTAGGATTTTCACTATTATTTTTACTACTTATCCCTAGACTTAACAAACATCTATTTGTAATGTTTAAAAAAGAAATAAAGGAAGAAATCCATAACTCTTTGTCCCTGGTCTACGTTGGTCCCCAAAGTTACACATTTCATGACTCCATCGATAGGAATGACCCTAGCCTAGCACCTGTCTTCTCTTCATGCACACTCAACAGGGCTGAAAGAACATTTGTGGTGGCTTTTTCAAAATTCCATGGTGTTCATTAGTAAGTGCTAGCGACCACCCAGCTATTCCTAAGGTTTGGTCTGATTGTCTCAAGCGGCAATTCCCTGCCTTGATCCAGAAAATATTTTTTTCCCAAAAATTCAATCAAACGCTACGTTCTGTGGGAAGACGTAATATAGGTCTCCAATTTTTTATTTCTTCCATTGCATTGAAGCATACAATAATCGAAAGAACACAGGATGAAAAGATGAGCAGAAAAGCCATGAAAAAAAAGGTGGGAGGCTTAAAACTGGCCTCCAGAAAAGATACAGAAGAAAAATGATGAAGCCTAGGAAGTGATAGTCGCTGCCTGCTTGATGCGGGACGGGCGCAGTGGCTGAAATTAGCGCTTTAGCAGAGACGTGGGAGACCCTCTTCAGAATTGGTGAACTTTTCTATTTTTGTCAAACAAGCAAAGACAGGGGAAAGCGCGAACGCAGTCCCCCACTACCATAAATTATGCAGTCGAGTTTCCCACATTTGAGGAAATCGCAGAGGTCAACTGGTACAGAGTGCAATGAACCGGCCTCACTCTGGGAGAGCCACCTTAGGGATCATGGCTATTGCTCCCCTGCCAGGTAAGTATGACATGAAAGGTACATTCAAAGGCACGCCTGCTGGGAAGCCTTTCCTTTAGGCTGTGGTGAAATAATAAAGCAAGATTAAAAAAAAAAAGAAGAAGAGCAAATAAATAATCCAAATGATAGAAGGCTACAAAAGATTAGCAAGCCTAGTGGCTGATGGTTGTTTTCCTCAGCTAGCAGTAATTTTAGTGCCTTCAGGTGGTTAGGTGTGAATAATTCAGCTGGATTGAGGGTGTGAAGGAGCAATTTGCATCAAGGCAAATGCTAGGCCAATGAGCCGAAGGATGGGAATTGATAGCATGGAGTGAGAATAGTGTGCTGCCGGAAACAATTGGATTCAGTGGGAGAGAAAGGTAAAAGGGAAATGCTAAGAAGCCAGCGGAAGGAATGGTGCAACAGAGCTCAGGAAGAAACGGGAGTGACGTAAGACACGCCCTAGACATGGGTCGCCGTAAACTTTTATTAAACCGATCTTTCAGTCTCCTCAGAGCCTGTCAAAAATTACCAATGCTGACTGTATTTCAAGTCATCATGGCGGGGTATTGGGTAAAGTTTTCAATTAGCAATAATCACGCCTCGGATTGACCTCATGGGCTACGATACTGCCACTGCGCAAAGCTAACTGCTCAAGTGGGCCAGCTTTTAAGAGCTACCACGTAAGGACACTTTAAGACAGCGGTGAGAAAAAGTTCATGACCATAAGCCATTGCAAAGGATTGTGGGAGGCAATATTCTAATTAGGCCCGCCTCCTCCTACAGGGAAGCTTAAACCCCAACAAATTCCTCGGTCTTCTTATATGGCATCTTGGAATGGTTCCAAACCTATAACAGAGAGTGAGGGCAACCATATCTTGCAGCAAACCTTGTACAATTTTTTTTCTCTCTTTGGAAACAGTTTTGCCAAGATTCTACTACAGCAGCCATTAGGCAGAGTACACAATCCGCTGGTCTACGTTGGTCCCCAAAGTTACACATTTCATGACTCCATCGATAGGAATGACCCTAGCCTAGCACCTGTCTTCTCTTCATGCACACTCAACAGGGCTGAAAGAACATTTGTGGTGGCTTTTTCAAAATTCCATGGTGTTCATTAGTAAGTGCTAGCGACCACCCAGCTATTCCTAAGGTTTGGTCTGATTGTCTCAAGCGGCAATTCCCTGCCTTGATCCAGAAAATATTTTTTTCCCAAAAATTCAATCAAACGTTACGTTCTGTGGGAAGACGTAATATAGGTCTCCAATTTTTTATTTCTTCCATTGCATTGAAGCATACAATAATCGAAAGAACACAGGATGAAAAGATGAGCAGAAAAGCCATGAAAAAAAAGGTGGGAGGCTTAAAACTGGCCTCCAGAAAAGATACAGAAGAAAAATGATGAAGCCTAGGAAGTGATAGTCGCTGCCTGCTTGATGCGGGACGGGCGCAGTGGCTGAAATTAGCGCTTTAGCAGAGACGTGGGAGACCCTCTTCAGAATTGGTGAACTTTTCTATTTTTGTCAAACAAGCAAAGACAGGGGAAAGCGCGAACGCAGTCCCCACTACCATAAATTATGCAGTCGAGTTTCCCACATTTGAGGAAATCGCAGAGGTCAACTGGTACGGAGTGCAATGAACCGGCCTCACTCTGGGAGAGCCACCTTAGGGATCATGGCTAATGCTCCCCTGCCAGGTAAGTATGACATGAAAGGTACATTCAAAGGCACGCCCGCTGGGAAGCCTTTCCTTTAGGCTGTGGTGAAATAATAAAGCAAGATTAAAAAAAAAAAGAAGAAGAGCAAATAAATAATCCAAATGATAGAAGGCTACAAAAGATTAGCAAGCCTCGTGGCTGATGGTTGTTTTCCTTAGCTAGCAGTAATTTTAGTGCCTTCAGGTGGTTTGGTGTGAATAATTCAGCTGGATTGAGAGTGTGAAGGAGCAATTTGCATCAAGGCAAATGCTAGGCCAATGAGCCGAAGGATGGGAATTGATAGCATGGAGTGAGAATAGTGTGCTGCCGGAAACAATTGGATTCAGTGGGAGAGAAAGGTAAAAGAGAAATGCTAAGAAGCCAGCGGAAGGAATGGGGCAACAGAGCTCAGGAAGAAACGGGAGTGACGTAAGACACGCCCTAGACATGGGTCGCCGTAAACTTTTATTAAACCGATCTTTCAGTCTCCTCAGAGCCTGTCAAAAATTGCCAATGCTGACTGTATTTCAAGTCATCATGGCGGGGTATTGGGTAAAGTTTTCAATTAGCAATAATCACGCCTCGGATTGACCTCATGGGCTACGATACTGCCACTGCGCAAAGCTAACTGCTCAAGTGGGCCAGCTTTTAAGAGCTACCACGTAAGGACACTTTAAGACAGCGGTGAGAAAAAGTTCATGACCATAAGCCATTGCAAAGGATTGTGGGAGGCAATATTCTAATTAGGCCCGCCTCCTCCTACAGGGAAGCTTAAACCCCAACAAATTCCTCGGTCTTCTTATATGGCATCTTGGAATGGTTCCAAACCTATAACAGAGAGTGAGGGCAACCATATCTTGCAGCAAACCTTGTACAATTTTTTTTCTCTCTTTGGAAACAGTTTTGCCAAGATTCTACTACAGCAGCCATTAGGCAGAGTACACAATCCGCTGGTCTACGTTGGTCCCCAAAGTTACACATTTCATGACTCCATCGATAGGAATGACCCTAGCCTAGCACCTGTCTTCTCTTCATGCACACTCAACAGGGCTGAAAGAACATTTGTGGTGGCTTCAACCACCCAGCTATTCCTAAGGTTTGGTCTGATTGTCTCAAGCGGCAATTCCCTGCCTTGATCAAGAAAATATTTTTTTCCCAAAAATTCAATCAAACGTTACGTTCTGTGGGAAGACGTAATATAGGTCTCCAATTTTTTATTTCTTCCATTGCATTGAAGCATACAATAATCGAAAGAACACAGGATGAAAAGATGAGCAGAAAAGCCATGAAAAAAAAGGTGGGAGGCTTAAAACAGAAAAGATACAGAAGAAAAATGATGAAGCCGAGGAAATGATAGTCGCGCTGCCTGCTTGATGCGGGACGGGCGCAGTGGCTGAAATTAGCGCTTTAGCAGAGACGTGGGAGACCCTCTTCAGAATTGGTGAACTTTTTCTATTTTTGTCAAATAAGCAAAGACAGAGGAAAGCAGTCCCCACTGCAATTATGCAGTGAGTTTCCCACATTTGAAATACTTGAGGTCAACTAGTCACAGTGCAATGAACCCGACCTCACTGGGAGAGCCACCTTAGGGATCATGGCTAATGCTCCCACCAGGTAAGTATGACATGAAGAAGGTACATTCAAAGAGCAGCAAAACAGGAAGCCTTTCCCTTTTGAAGCTGTGGTGGAAATAATAAAGCAAGATTTAAAAAAAAAAAGAGAGCAAATAAATAATCCAAATGATAGAAGGCTACAAAAGATTACTTAAGCCTCATTGGCTGATGGTTGTTTTCCTTAGCTAGCAGTAATTTTGGGTACGCTGGGTGGTTTTGGTGTGAATAATTCCAGCTGGATTGAGGGTGTGAAGGGCAATTTGCATCAAAGGCAAATACTAGGCCAATGAGCGAAGGATGGGAGTAGCATGGAGTGAGAATAGTGTGCTGCCGGAAACAACTGGATTCAGTGGGAGAGAAAGGTAAAAGAGAAATGCTAAGAAGCCAGCGGAAGGAACGGTGCAACAGAGCTCAGGAAGAAACGGGAGTGACGTAAGGCACGCCCTAGACATGGGTCGCCGTAAACTTTTATTAAACCGATCTTTCAGTCTCCTCAGAGCCTGTCAAAAATTGCCAGTGCTGACTGTATTTCAAGTCATCAGTATTGGGTAAAGTTTTCAATTAGCAATAATCACGCCTTGGATTGACCTCATGGGCTACGATACTGCCACTGCGCAAAGCTAACTGCTCAAGTGGGCCAGCTTTTAAGAGCTACCACGTAAGGACACTTTAAGACAGCGGTGAAAAAAAGTTCATGACCATAAGCCATTGCAAAGGATTGTGGGAGGCAATATTCTAATTAGGCCCGCCTCCTCCTACAGGGAAGCTTAAACCCCAACAAATTCCTCGGTCTTCTTATATGGCATCTTGGAATGGTTCCAAACCTATAACAGAGAGTGAGGGCAACCATATCTTGCAGCAAACCTTGTACAATTTTTTTCTCTCTTTGGAAACAGTTTTGCCAAGATTCTACTACAGCAGCCATTAGGCAGAGTACACAATCCGCTGGTCTACGTTGGTCCCCAAAGTTACACATTTCATGACTCCATCGATAGGAATGACCCTAGCCTAGCACCTGTCTTCTCTTCTTTTTTACTCAACAGGGCTGAAAGAACATTTGTAATTATTTTCAAAATTCCATAGTGTTCATTAGTAGAATTGCGACACCCAGCTATTCTAAGGTTTGGTCACAGTGTCTCAGCGGCAATTCCCTGCCTTGATCAAATATTTTTTTCCAAAATTCAATCAAGCGATTCACGTTCTGTGGGAAGGCGTAGCGAGATTATAATTTTTATTTCTTCAGTACTGACATACAGCCATGCGAGAAAGAACACAGGATGAAAAAGATAGACAGAAAAGCCATAAGAAAAGGTGGGAGGCTTAAAACTGGCTAGAAAAGGCTAGAGAAAATAGTGAAGCCTAGGAAGTGATAGTTTACTGCCTTTGGTAGGGCCGGCAGTAGCTGAGAGTAAGCGCTTTAGCAGAGACGTGGGAGACCCTCTTAAGAATTGGTGAACTTTTCTATTTTTGTCAAACAAGCAAAGACAGGGGAAAGCGCGAACGCAGTCCCCCACTACCATAAATTATGCAGTCGAGTTTCCCACATTTGAGGAAATCGCAGAGGTCAACTGGTACGGAGTGCAATGAACCGGCCTCACTCTGGGAGAGCTACCTTAGGGATCATGGCTAATGCTCCCCTGCCAGGTAAGTATGACATGAAAGGTACATTCAAAGGCACGCCCGCTGGGAAGCCTTTCCTTTAGGCTGTGGTAAAATAATAAAGCAAGATTAAAAAAAAAAAAGAAGAAGAGCAAATAAATAATCCAAATGATAGAAGGCTACAAAAGATTAGCAAGCCTCGTGGCTGATGGTTGTTTTCCTTAGCTAGCAGTAATTTTAGTGCCTTCAGTTGGTTTGGTGTGAATAATTCAGCTGGATTGAGAGTGTGAAGGAGCAATTTGCATCAAGGCAAATGCTAGGCCAATGAGCCGAAGGATGGGAATTGATAGCATGGAGTGAGAATAGTGTGCTGCCGGAAACAATTGGATTCAGTGGGAGAGAAAGGTAAAAGGGAAATGCTAAGAATCCAGCGGAAGGAATGGGGCAACAGAGCTCAGGAAGAAACGGGAGTGACGTAAGACACGCCCTAGACATGGGTCGCCGTAAACTTTTATTAAACCGATCTTTCAGTCTCCTCAGAGCCTGTCAAAAATCGCCAATGCTGACTGTATTTCAAGTCATCATGGCGGGGTATTGGGTAAAGTTTTCAATTAGCAATAATCACGCCTCGGATTGACATCATGGGCTACGATACTGCCACTGCGCAAAGCTAACTGCTCAAGTGGGCCAGCTTTTAAGAGCTACCACGTAAGGACACTTTAAGACAGCGGTGAGAAAAAGTTCATGACCATAAGCCATTGCAAAGGATTGTAGGAGGCAATATTCTAATTAGGCCCGCCTCCTCCTACAGGGAAGCTTAAACCCCAACAAATTCCTCGGTCTTCTTATATGGCATCTTGGAATGGTTCCAAACCTATAACAGAGAGTGAGGGCAACCATATCTTACAGCAAACCTTGTACAATTTTTTTTCTCTCTTTGGAAACAGTTTTGCCAAGATTCTACTACAGCAGCCATTAGGCAGAGTACACAATCCGCTGGTCTACGTTGGTCCCAAAAGTTACACATTTCATGACTCCATCGATAGGAATGACCCTAGCCTAGCACCTGTCTTCTCTTCATACACACTCAACAGGGCTGAAAGAACATTTGTGGTGGCTTTTTCAAAATTCCATGGTGTTCATTAGTAAGTGCTAGCGACCACCCAGCTATTCCTAAGGTTTGGTCTGATTGTCTCAAGCGGCAATTCCCTGCCTTGATCCAGAAAATATTTTTTCCCAAAAATTCAATCAAACGTTACGTTCTGTGGGAAGACGTAATATAGGTCTCCAATTTTTTATTTCTTCCATTGCATTGAAGCATACAATAATCGAAAGAACACAGGATGAAAAGATGAGCAGAAAAGCCATGAAAAAAAAAGGTGGGAGGCTTAAAACAGAAAAGATACAGAAGAAAAATGATGAAGCCTAGGAAATGATAGTCGCGCTGCCTGCTTGATGCGGGACGGGCGCAGTGGCTGAAATTAGCGCTTTAGCAGAGACGTGGGAGACCCTCTTCAGGGTGGTGAACTTTTCTAGTACGACAAACAAGCAAGAGACAGGGGAAAAGCATGAAGGCACTTGATCCCCCACTACCATAAATTATGCAGTGAGTTTCCCACATTTGAGAAATACATGAGAGTCAGCTGGTACGGAGTGCAATGAACGGCCTCACTCTGGGAGGAGAGCCACCTTAAGGATCATAGCTATTGCTCCCCTGCCAGGTAAGTATGACATGAAAGACTACATTCAAAGAACGCGCCAGCTAGGAAGCACTTTCCCTTTTAGGCTATTGAGTGAAATAATAAAGCAGGGTAAAAAAAAAAAAAAGAAGAAAGAGCAAATAAATAATCCAAATGATAAGGAAACACAAAGATTACTTAAGCCTCGTGGCTGATAGTTTATTTTTTTCCTTAGCTAGCAGTAATTTTAGTGCCTTCAGGTAGTTGGGAATTGTGAATAATTCAGCTGGATTGAGGGTGTGAAGGAGCAATTTGCATCAAGGCAAATGCTAGGCCAATGAGCCGAAGGATGGGAATTGATAGCATGGAGTGAGAATAGTGTGCTGTCGGAAACAATTGGATTCAGTGGGAGAGAAAGGTAAAAGGGAAATGCTAAGAAGCCTGCGGAAGGAATGGTGCAACAGAGCTCAGGAAGAAACGGGAGTGACGTAAGACACGCCCTAGACATGGGTCGCCGTAAACTTTTATTAAACCGATCTTTCCGTCTCCTCAGAGCCTGTCAAAAATTGCCAATGCTGACTGTATTTCAAGTCATCATGGCGGGGTATTGGGTAAAGTTTTCAATTACTTGTAAATGCGCCTCGGATTGACCTCAAGAGACTCTGATACTGCCACTGCGCAAAGCTAACTTTCTCAAGTAGGCCCAGCTTTTAAGAGCTACCACATGGGACACTTTTAAGACAGCGGTGAAAAAGTTCATGACCATAAGCCATTGCAAAAGAGATTGTAGGAAGCAATATTCCTAATTAGGCCCACCTCCTCTACAGGAAGCTTAAACTAACCACTACTCGGTCTTCTTATATGGCATCTTGGGAATGGTTTCCCAAACCTATAACAGAGAGTGAGGCAACCATATCTTGCAGCAAACCTTGCAATTTTTTACTCTCTTTGGGAAACAGTTTTTTGCCAGATTCTACTACAGCAGCCATTAGGCAAGTACACAATCCGGCTGGTCTACGTTGGTCCCCAAAGTTACATTTCATGACTCCATACGATAGGAATGAGCTAGCCTAGCACCTGTCTTCTCTTCATGCACACTCCAACAGGGCTGAAAGAACATTTGTGGTGGCTTTTTCAAAATTCCATGGTGTTCATTAGTAAGTGCTAGCGACCACCCAGCTATTCCTAAGGTTTGGTCTGATTGTCTCAAGCGGCAATTCCCTGCCTTGATCCAGAAAATATTTTTTCCCCCAAAATTCAATCAAACGTTACGTTCTGTGGGAAGACGTAATATAGGTCTCCAATTTTTCATTTCTTCCATTGCATTGAAGCATACAATAATCGAAAGAACACAGGATGAAAAGATGAGCAGAAAAGCCATGAAAAAAAAGGTGGGAGGCTTAAAATTGGCCTCCAGAAAAGATACAGAAGAAAAATGATGAAGCCTAGGAAATGATAGCCGCGCTGCCTGCTTGATGCGGGACGGGCGCAGTGGCTGAAATTAGCGCTTTAGCAGAGACGTGGGAGACCCTCTACAGAATTGGTGAACTTTTCTATTTTTGACAAACAAGCAAAGACAGGGGAAAGCGCGAACGCAGTCCCCCACTACCATAAATTATGCAGTCGAGTTTCCCACATTTGAGGAAATCGCAGAGGTCAACTGGTACGGAGTGCAATGAACCGGCCTCACTCTGGGAGAGCCACCTTAGGGATCATGGCTATTGCTCCCCTGCCAGGTAAGTATGACATGAAAGGTACATTCAAAGGCACGCCCGCTGGGAAGCCTTTCCTTTAGGCTGTGGTGAAATAATAAAGCAAGATTAAAAAAAAAAAGAAGAAGAGCAAATAAATAATCCAAATGATAGAAGGCTACAAAAGATTAGTAAGCCTCGTGGCTGATGGTTGTTTTCCTTAGCTAGCAGTAATTTTAGTGCCTTCAGGTGGTTAGGTGTGAATAATTCAGCTGGATTGAGGGTGTGAAGGAGCAATTTGCATCAAGGCAAATGCTAGGCCAATGAGCCGAAGGATGGGAATTGATAGCATGGAGTGAGAATAGTGTGCTGCCGGAAACAATTGGATTCAGTGGGAGAGAAAGGTAAAAAGGAAATGCTAAGAAGCCAGCGGAAGGAATGGTGCAACAGAGCTCAGGAAGAAACGGGAGTGACGTAAGACACGCCCTAGACATGGGTCGCCGTAAACTTTTATTAAACCGATCTTTCAGTCTCCTCAGAGCCTGTCAAAAATTGCCAATGCTGACTGTATTTCAAGTCATCATGGCGGGGTATTGGGTAAAGTTTTCAATTAGCAATAATCACGCCTCGGATTGACCTCATGGGCTACGATACTGCCACTGCGCAAAGCTAACTGCTCAAATGGGCCAGCTTTTAAGAGCTACCACGTAAGGACACTTTAAGACAGCGGTGAGAAAAAGTTCATGACCATAAGCCATTGCAAAGGATTGTGGGAGGCAATATTCTAATTAGGCCCGCCTCCTCCTACAGGGAAGCTTAAACCCCAACAAATTCCTCGGTCTTCTTATATGGCATCTTGGAATGGTTCCAAACCTATAACAGAGAGTGAGGGCAACCATATCTTGCAGCAAACCTTGTACAATTTTTTTTCTCTCTTTGGAAACAGTTTTGCCAAGATTCTACTACAGCAGCCATTAGGCAGAGTACACAATCCGCTGGTCTTCGTTGGTCCCCAAAGTTACACATTTCATGACTCCATCAATAGGAATGACCCTAGCCTAGCACCTGTCTTCTCTTCATGCACACTCAACAGGGCTGAAAGAACATTTGTGGTGGCTTTTTCAAAATTCCATGGTGTTCATTAGTAAGTGCTAGCGACCACCCAGCTATTCCTAAGGTTTGGTCTGATTGTCTCAAGCGGCAATTCCCTGCCTTGATCCAGAAAATATTTTTTTCCCAAAAATTCAATCAAACGTTACGTTCTGTGGGAAGACGTAATATAGGTCTCCAATTTTTTATTTCTTCCATTGCATTGAAGCATACAATAATCGAAAGAACACAGGATGAAAAGATGAGCAGAAAAGCCATGAAAAGAAAGGTGGGAGGCTTAAAACTGGCCTCCAGAAAAGATACAGAAGAAAAATGATGAAGCCTAGGAAGTGATAGTCGCTGCCTGCTTGATGCGGGACGGGCGCAGTGGCTGAAATTAGCGCTTTAGCAGACACGTGGGAAACCCTCTTCAGAATTGGTGAACTTTTCTATTTTTGTCAAACAAGCAAAGACAGGGGAAAGCGCGAACGCAGTCCCCCCACTACCATAAATTATGCAGTAGAGATTTCCCACATTTTAGAGAGAAATCGCAGAGGTCAGCTGAGTACGAGTACAATGAGCAGCCTCACTCTGGGAAACTACCTTAGGATCATAGCTAGCCTTTCCTGCCAGGTAAAAGGAAAATATGACATGAAAGTACATTCAAAAGGCGCCGCTGGGAAACTTTTCCTTTAGGCACAGCCAGTGAAAATAATAAAGCAAGATTAAAAAAAAAAAAGAAGAAGAGCAAATAAATAATCCAAATGATAGAAGGCTACAAAAGATTAGCAAACCTCGTGGCTGATGGTTGTTTTCCTTAGCTAGCAGTAATTGTAGTGCCTTCAGGTGGTTAGGTGTGAATAATTCAGCTGGATTGAGGGTGTGAAGGAGCAATTTGCATCAAAGCAAATGCTAGGCCAATGAGCCGAAGGATGGGAATTGATAGCATGGAGTGAGAATAGTGTGCTGCCGGAAACAATTAGATTCAGTGGGAGAGAAAGGTAAAAGGGAAATGCTAAAGAAGCCAGCGGAAGGAATGGTGCAACGAGAGCTCAGGAAAAGCGGGAGTGGCGTAAAGATTACGCCCGGAGCATGGAGTCGCCGTAAAGCTTTTTATTAGAAGCGAATAACAATTACTCCTCAGAGCCTGTCAAAAATTGCAATGCGGCATATTTCAAGTCATCATAGGCGGGGTATTAGGTAAAGTTTTCAATTAGCAATAATCGCGCCTCGGATTGACCTCACTTAATTTCACGATACTGCCACTGCGCCAAAGCTGAAATTGCTTCCGTGGGCAGCTTTAAAGGCTACACGTAAGGACACTTTAAGACAGCGGTGAGAAAAGTTCATGACGCGCCATTGCAAAAGTTGTAGGAGGAGGCAATATTCTATTAGGCCGCCTCACTCTACAGGAAAGCTTAACCCCAACAAATTCCTCGGTCTTCTTATATATCACTTGGAATGGTTCCAAACCTATAACAGAGAGTGAGGGCAACCATATCTTGCAGCAAACCTTGTATAATTTTTTTTCTCTCTTTGGAAACAGTTTTGCCAAGATTCTACTACAGCAGCCATTAGGCAGAGTACACAATCCGCTGGTCTACGTTGGTCCCCAAAGTTACACATTTCATGACTCCATCAATAGGAATGACCCTAGCCTAGCACCTGTCTTCTCTTCATGCACACTCAACAGGGCAGAAAGAACATTTGTGGTGGCTTTTTCAAAATTCCATGGTGTTCATTAGTAAGTGCTAGCGACCACTCAGCTATTCCTAAGGTTTGGTCTGATTGTCTCAAGCGGCAATTCCCTGCCTTGATCCAGAAAATATTTTTTTCCCAAAAATTCAATCAAACGTTACGTTCTGTGGGAAGACGTAATATAGGTCTCCAATTTTTATTTCTTCCATTGCATTGAAGCATACAATAATCGAAAGAACACAGGATGAAAAGATGAGCAGAAAAGCCATGAAAAAAAAGGTGGGAGGCTTAAAACTGGCCTCCAGAAAAAATACAGAAGAAAAATGATGAAGCCTAGAAAGTGATAGTCGCTGCCTGCTTGATGCGGGACGGGCGCAGTGGCTGAAATTAGCACTTTAGCAGAGACGTGGGAGACCCTCTTCAGAATTGGTGAACTTTTCTATTTTTGTCAAACAAGCAAAGACAGGGGAAAGCGCGAACGCAGTCCCCCACTACCATAAATTATGCAGTCGAGTTTCCCACATTTGAGGAAATCGCAGAGGTCAACTGGTACGGAGTGCAATGAACCGGCCTCACTCTAGGAGAGCCACCTTTGGGATCATGGCTAATGCTCCCCTGCCAGGTAAGTATGACATGAAAGGTACATTCAAAGGCACGCCCGCTGGGAAGCCTTTCCTTTAGGCTGTGGTGAAATAATAAAGCAAGATTAAAAAAAAAAAGAAGAAGAGCAAATAAATAATCCAAATGATAGAAGGCTACAAAAGATTAGCAAGCCCTCGGCTGATGGTTGTTTTCCCTTAGCTAGCAGTAATTTTAGTGCCTCTAGGTGGTTTGGTGTGAATAATTCAGCTGGATTGAGAGGTGAAGGAGCAATTTTAAAATAAGGCAAATGCTAGGCCAATGAGTCAAGGATGGGAATCTGATAGCATGGAGTGAGAAATTGAAAGCTGCTGGAAACAAACGTATTCAGGTGGGAGAGAAAGGTAAAAGGGAAATGCTAAGAAGCCAGCAGAAGGAATGGTGCAACAGAGCTCAGGAAGAAACGGGAGTGACGTAAGACACGCCCTAGACATGGGTCGCCGTAAACTTTTATTAAACCGATCTTTCAGTCTCCTCAGAGCCTGTCAAAAATTGCCAATGCTGGCTGTATTTCAAGTCATCATGGCGGGGTATTGGGTAAAGTTTTCAATTAGCAATAATCACGCCTCGGATTGACCTCATGGGCTACGATACTGCCACTGCGCAAAGCTAACTGTTCAAGTGGGCCAGCTTTTAAGCGCTACCACGTAAGGACACTTTAAGACAGCGGTGAGAAAAAGTTCATGCCCATAAGCCATTGCAAAGGATTGTGGGAGGCAATATTCTAATTAGGCCCGCCTCCTACTACAGGGAATCTTAAACCCCAACAAATTCCTCTGTCTTCTTATATGGCATCTTGGAATGGTTCCAACCTATAACAGAGAGTGAGGGCAACCATATCTTGCAGCAAACCTTGTACAATTTTTTTTCTCTCTTTGGAAACAGTTTTGCCAAGATTCTACTACAGCAGCCATTAAGCAGAGTACACAATCCGCTGGTCTACGTTGGTCCCCAAAGTTACACATTTCATGACTCCATCGATAGGAATGACCCTAGCCTAGCACCTGTCTTCTCTTCATGCACACTCAACAGGGCTGAAAGAACATTTGTGGTGGCCTTTTCAAAATTCCATGGTGTTCATTAGTAAGTGCTAGCGACCACCCAGCTATTCCTAAGGTTTGGTCTGATTGTCTCAAGCGGCAATTCCCTGCCTTGATCCAGAAAATATTTTTTTCCCAAAAATTCAATCCAACGTTACGTTCTGTGGGAAGACGTAATACAGGTCTCCAATTTTTTATTTCTTCCATTGCATTGAAGCATACAATAATCAAAAGAACACAGGATGAAAAGATGAGCAGAAAAGCCATGAAAAAAAAGGTGGGAGGCTTAAAACTGGCCTCCAGAAAATATACAGAAGAAAAATGATGAAGCCTAGGAAGTGATAGTCGCTGCCTGCTTGATGCGGGACGGACGCAGTGGCTGAAATTAGCGCTTTAGCAGAGACGTGGGAAACCCTCTTCAGAATTGGTGAACTTTTCTATTTTTGTCAAACAAGCAAAGACAGGGGAAAGCGCGAACGCAGTACCCCACTACCATAAATTATGCAGTCGAGTTTCCCACATTTGAGAAAATCGCAGAGGTCAACTGGTACGGAGTGCAATGAACCGGCCTCACTCTGGGAGAGCCACCTTAGGGATCATGGCTAATGCTCCCCTGCCAGGTAAGTATGACATGAAAGGTACATTCAAAGGCACGCCCGCTGGGAAGCCTTTCCTTTAGGCTGTGGTAAAATAATAAAGCAAGATTAAAAAAAAAAAAGAAGAAGAGCAAATAAATAATCCAAATGATAGAAGGCTACAAAAGATTAGCAAGCCTCGTGGCTGATGGTTGATTTCCTTAGCTAGCAGTAATTTTAGTGCCTTCAGGTGGTTAGGTGTGAATAATTCAGCTGGATTGAGGGTGTGAAGGAGCAATTTGCATCAAGGCAAATGCTAGGCCAATGAGCCAAAGGATGGGAATTGATAGCATGGAGTGAGAATAGTGTGCTGCCGGAAACAATTGGATTCAGTGGGAGAGAAAGGTAAAAGGGAAATGCTAAGAATCCAGCGGAAGGAATGGGGCAACAGAGATCAGGAAGAAACGGGAGTGACGTAAGACACGCCCTAGACATGGGTCGCCGTAAACTTTTATTAAACCGATCTTTCAGTCTCCTCAGAGCCTGTCAAAAATTGCCAATGCTGACAGTATTTCAAGTCATCATGGCGGGGTATTGGGTAAAGTTTTCACTAGCAATAATCACTGGATGACCTCATGGGCCGACACTGCCACTGGCAAGAAAGCTAACTGCTCAAGTGGGCCAGCTTTTAAGAGCTACCACGTAAGGACACTTTAAGACAGCGGTGAGAAAAAGTTCTCGACCATAAGCCATTGCAAAGGATTGTGGGAGGCAATATTCTAATTAGGCCCGCCTCCTCCTACAGGGAAGCTTAAACCCCAACAAATTCCTCGGTCTTCTTATATGGCATCTTGGAATGGTTCCAAACCTATAACAGAGAGTGAGGGCAACCATATCTTGCAGCAAACCCTGTACAATTTTTTTTCTCTCTTTGGAAACAGTTTTGCCAAGATTCTACTACAGCAGCCATTAGGCAGAGTAATAATAACCGCTGGTCTACGCTTAGTATCCCCTAAAAGTTACACATTTCATGACTCCATCAATAGGAATGACTTAGCCTAGCACCTGTCTTCTTCATGCACACTCACCAGCTGGGAAAAGAACATTTGTGGTGGCTTTTTTCAAAATTCCATGGTGTTCATTAGTAAGTGCTAGCACCACCAGCTTATTCCTAAGGTTTGGTCTGATTGTCTCAAGCGCAATTCCCCTGCCTTTGGATCCAGAAAATATTTTTTTCCCAAAAATTCAATCAAACGTTACGCTCTGTGGAAGACGTAATATAGGTCTCCAATTTTTTATTTCTTCCATTGCATTGAAGCATACAATAATCGAAAGAACACAGGATGAAAAGATGAGCAGAAAAGCCATAAAAAAAAAGGTGGGAGGCTTAAAACTGGCCTCCAGAAAAGATACAGAAGAAAAATGATGAAGCCTAGGAAGTGATAGTCGCTGCCTGCTTGATGCGGGACGGGCGCAGTGGCTGAAATTAGTGCTTTAGCAGAGACGTGGGAGACCCTCTTCAGAATTGGTGAACTTTTCTATTTTTGTCAAACAAGCAAAGACAGAGGAAAACGCGAACGCAGTCCCCCACTACCATAAATTATGCAGTCGAGTTTCCCACATTTGAGGAAATCGCAGAGGTCAACTGGTACGGAGTGCAATGAACCTGCCTCACTCTGGGAGAGCCACCTTAGGGATCATGGCTATTGCTCCCCTGCCAGGTAAGTATGACATGAAAGGTACATTCAAAGGCACGCCCGCTGGGAAGCCTTTCCTTTAGGCTGTGGTGAAATAATAAAGCAAGATTAAAAAAAAAAAAGAAGAGCAAATAAATAATCCAAATGATAGAAGGCTACAAAAGATTAGCAAGCCTCGTGGCTGATGGTTGTTTTCCTTAGCTAGCAGTAATTTTAGTGCCTTCAGGTGGTTTGGTGTGAATAATTCAGCTGGATTGAGGGTGTGAAGGAGCAATTTGCATCAAGGCAAATGCTAGGCCAATCAGCCGAAGGATGGGAATTGATAGCATGGAGTGAGAATAGTGTGCTGCCGGAAACAACTGGATTCAGTGGGAGAGAAAGGTAAAAGAGAAATGCTAAGAAGCCAGCGGAAGGAACGGTGCAACAGAGCTCAGGAAGAAACGGGAGTGACGTAAGACACGCCCTAGACATGGGTCGCCGTAAACTTTTATTAAACCGATCTTTCAGTCTCCTCAGAGCCTGTCAAAAATTGCCAGTGCTGACTGTATTTCAAGTCATCAGTATTGGGTAAAGTTTTCAATTAGCAATAATCACGCCTTGGATTGACCTCATGGGCTACGATACTGCCACTGCGCAAAGCTAACTGCTCAAGTGGGCCAGCTTTTAAGAGCTACCACGTAAGGACACTTTAAGACAGCGGTGAAAAAAAGTTCATGACCATAAGCCATTGCAAAGGATTGTGGGAGGCAATATTCTAATTAGGCCCGCCTCCTCCTACAGGGAAGCTTAAACCCCAACAAATTCCTCGGTCTTCTTATATGGCATCTTGGAATGGTTCCAAACCTATAACAGAGAGTGAGGGCAACCATATCTTGCAGCAAACCTTGTACAATTTTTTTTCTCTCTTTGGAAACAGTTTTGCCAAGATTCTACTACAGCAGCCATTAGGCAGAGTACACAATCCGCTGGTCTACGTTGGTCCCCAAAGTTACACATTTCATGACTCCATCGATAGGAATGACCCTAGCCTAGCACCTGTCTTCTCTTCATGCACACTCAACAGGGCTGAAAGAACATTTGTGGTGGCTTTTTCAAAATTCCATGGTGTTCATTAGTAAGTGCTAGCGACCACCCAGCTATTCCTAAGGTTTGGTCTGATTGTCTCAAGCGGCAATTCCCTGCCTTGATCCAGAAAATATTTTTTTCCCCAAAATTCAATCAAACGTTACGTTCTGTGGGAAGACGTAATATAGGTCTCCAATTTTTCATTTCTTCCATTGCATTGAAGCATACAATAATCGAAAGAACACAGGATGAAAAGATGAGCAGAAAAGCCATGAAAAGAAAGGTGGGAGGCTTAAAACTGGCCACCAGAAAAGATACAGAAGAAAAATGATGAAGCCTAGGAAGTGATAGTCGCTGCCTGCTTGATGCGGACGTACAAAGAGTGGTTGAAATTAGCGCTTTAGCAGAGACGGGAGACCCTCTTCAGAATTGGTGAACTTTTTCTATTTTTGTCAAACAAGCAGACAGGGAAAGCGCGAACGCGAAGTCCCCACTACCAAGCAATTATGCAGTCGAAGTTTCCGTACATTGAGGAAATCGGGAGAGGTCAACTTTCGGTAATGGAGTGCAATGAACCGCCTCACTTGGGAGTAGCCACCAGGGATCATGGCTAATGCTCCCCAAGCAGTAAGTATGACATGAAAGGTACATCTAAAGGCACGCCCGCTGGGAAGCCTTTCCTTTAGGCTGTGGTGAAATAATAAAGCAAGATTAAAAAAAAAAAAAGAAGAAGAGCAAATAAATAATCCAAATGATAGAAGGCTACAAAAGATTAGCAAGCCTCGTGGCTGATGGTTGTTTTCCCTAGCTAGCAGTAATTTTAGTGCCTTCAGGTGGTTTGGTGTGAATAATTCAGCTGGATTGAGGGTGTGAAGGAGCAATTTGCATCAAGGCAAATGCTAGGCCAATGAGCCGAAGGATGGGAATTGATAGCATGGAGTGAGAATAGTGTGCTGCCGGAAACAACTGGATTCAGTGGGAGAGAAAGGTAAAAGAGAAATGCTAAGAAGCCAGCGGAAGGAATGGTGCAACAGAGCTCAGGAAGAAACGGGAGTGACGTAAGACACGCCTAGACATGGGTCGCCGTAAACTTTTATTAAACCGATCTTCAGTCTCCTACAGAGCCTGTCAAAATTGCCAATGCTGACTGTATTTCAAGTCATCATGGCGGGCATTGGGTAAAGTTTTCAATTAGCAATAATCACGCCGGATTGACCTCATGGGCTACGATACTGCCACCAAGGCGCAGTGCTAGCGTCTGGCGGCCAGCTTAAGAGCTACCAATGTAAAGGACACTTTAAGACAGCTGTGAGAAAAGTTCATGACCATAAGCCATTGCAAAAGGATTGTGGGGAGGCAATATTCTAATTAGGCCCGCCTCCTCCTACAGGGAAGCTTAAACCCCAACAACTTCCTCGGTCTTCTTATATGGCATCTTGGAATGGTTCCAAACCTATAACAGAGAGTGAGGGCAACCATATCTTGCAGCAAACCTTGTACAATTTTTTTCTCTCTCTTTGGAAACAGTTTTGCCAAGATTCTACTACAGCAGCCATTAGGCAGAGTACACAATCCGCTGGTCTACGTTGGTCCCCAAAGTTACACATTTCATGACTCCATCAATAGGAATGACCCTAGCCTAGCACCTGTCTTCTCTTCATGCACACTTAACAGGGCTGAAAGAACATTTGTGGTGGCTTTTTCAAAATTCCATGGTGTTCATTAGTAAGTGCTAGCGACCACCCAGCTATTCCTAAGGTTTGGTCTGATTGTCTCAAGCGGCAATTCCCTGCCTTGATCCAGAAAATATTTTTTTCCCCAAAATTCAATCAAACGTTACGTTCTGTGGGAAGACGTAATATAGGTCTCCAATTTTTCATTTCTTCCATTGCATTGAAGCATACAATAATCGAAAGAACACAGGATGAAAAGATGAGCAGAAAAGCCATGAAAAAAAAGGTGGGAGGCTTAAAACTGGCCTCCAGAAAAGATACAGAAGAAAAATGATGAAGCCTAGGAAATGATAGTCGCGCTGCCTGCTTGATGCGGGACGGGCGCAGTGGCTGAAATTAGCGCTTTAGCAGAGACGTGGGAGACCCTCTACAGAATTGGTGAACTTTTCTATTTTTGACAAACAAGCAAAGACAGGGGAAAGCGCGAACGCAGTCCCCCACTACCATAAATTATGCAGTCGAGTTTCCCACATTTGAGGAAATCGCAGAGGTCAACTGGTACGGAGTGCAATGAACCGGCCTCACTCTGGGAGAGCCACCTTAGGGATCATGGCTATTGCTCCCCTGCCAGGTAAGTATGACATGAAAGGTACATTCAAAGGCACGCACGCTGGGAAGCCTTTCCTTTAGGCTGTGGTGAAATAATAAAGCAAGATTTAAAAAAAAAAGAAGAAGAGCAAATAAATAATCCAAATGATAGAAGGCTACAAAAGATTAGCAAGCCTCGTGGCTGATGGTTGTTTTCCTTAGCTAGCAGTAATTTTAGTGCCTTCAGGTGGTTAGGTGTGAATAATTCAGCTGGATTGAGGGTGTGAAGGAGCAATTTGCATCAAGGCAAATGCTAGGCCAATGAGCCGAAGGATGGGAATTGATAGCATGGAGTGAGAATAGTGTGCTGCCGGAAACAACTGGATTCAGTGGGAGAGAAAGGTAAAAGAGAAATGCTAAGAAGCCAGCGGAAGGAATGGTGCAACAGAGCTCAGGAAGAAACGGGAGTGACGTAAGACACGCCCTAGACATGGGTCGCCGTAAACTTTTATTAAACCGATCTTTCAGTCTCCTCAGAGCCTGTCAAAAATTGCCAATGCTGACTGTATTTCAAGTCATCATGGCGGGGTATTGGGTAAAGTTTTCAATTAGCAATAATCACGCCTCGGATTGACCTCATGGGCTACAATACTGCCACTGCGCAAAGCTAACTGCTCAAGTGGGCCAGCTTTTAAGAGCTACCACGTAAGGACACTTTAAGACAGCGGTGAGAAAAAGTTCATGACCATAAGCCATTGCAAAGGATTGTGGGAGGCAATATTCTAATTAGGCCCGCCTCCTCCTACAGGGAAGCTTAAACCCCAACAAATTCCTCGGTCTTCTTATATGGCATCTTGGAATGGTTCCAAACCTATAACAGAGAGTGAGGGCAACCATATCTTGCAGCAAACCTTGTACAATTTTTTTTCTCTCTTTGGAAACAGTTTTGCCAAGATTCTACTACAGCAGCCATTAGGCAGAGTACACAATCCGCTGGTCTACGTTGGTCCCCAAAGTTACACATTTCATGACTCCATCGATAGGAATGACCCTAGCCTAGCACCTGTCTTCTCTTCATGCACACTCAACAGGGCTGAAAGAACATTTGTGGTGGCTTTTTCAAAATTCCATGGTGTTCATTAGTAAGTGCTAGCGACCACCCAGCTATTCCTAAGGTTTGGTCTGATTGTCTCAAGCGGCAATTCCCTGCCTTGATCCAGAAAATATTTTTTTCCCCAAAATTCAATCAAACGTTACGTTCTGTGGGAAGACGTAATATAGGTCTCCAATTTTTCATTTCTTCCATTGCATTGAAGCATACAATAATCGAAAGAACACAGGATGAAAAGATGAGCAGAAAAGCCATGAAAAAAAAGGTGGGAGGCTTAAAATTGGCCTCCAGAAAAGATACAGAAGAAAAATGATGAAGCCTAGGAAGTGATTGTCGCTGCCCGCTTGATGCAGGAAAGTAAGAGCCAAAGAAGACGGGTGCCGTGGCCCCCCATCCAACCTCTGCTACAACCCAACCCAACTACCGCAGCTCCCCTTTGTGGCTTCTCAATCCGGTCACCCCTGCAGCGAGCATTCCCCAATGCAACCAGCCCAGCCACATCAAACTGAACTGTCCCCAAAACCGGGGCCGAACTCAGTGGGTCACCCCCATAGTCCCTACTGGCCCATGAGCAGCAGCCCTCTGTTACCAAGATTATCCCACAGATTTCCAGAGTCCCAACGAAGAAGCCTGAACCATCCTGCATGAGGCGAACCCTGTCCAGGCTGCCCATGATAACTGGGACCACCACAGACAGTCAGTGCGGCTGAACAGGCGTAGGGTCCAGGGGCTCCGAGACACCAGAGCCACCCTAACTCTGGTGTGACCCCAGCTTATCCCCGAAGAAGCAAGAATGGGGGTACCGTCGCCGTCCAAGTGGCCATAGGAGACATCCACTACCTACCCACTGCCCATGTTCACCTGGACCGAGAGTTGGCTCACCCAAAGCTTTTTTTGGCCAGGCATCTCTAAGGATATGAGGCAGTACTGCCAGACCTGTGATGTCTGTCAGCGAGTGGGGAAGCAGGGCGACCGGCGCAAGGCCAAGTTCCAACACCTCCCCAACATCGAAGACCCCTTCGGCAGAGTAGCTAGCCCCTCTGGGAAGAAATATATTCTGACCATTGTGGACTATGCGACTCGGTACCCCGAGGCAGTCACCCTGAACAACATTCAAGCTGAGACTGTAGCCGAAGAACTGATGCGAGTGTTCTCCAGGATGGGGTTTCCCCGGGAGATCATTTCGGATCGGGGCTCCCAGTTTACTGCCGAAATGACCGCCCAACTGTTATGTGGCATTAAACAGATCCCGAGCTCCCCTTACAACCCCCAGATCAATGGCCTGTGCGAGGATTCTCACCATTCAAGCTGATCTTCAGGCGGAGAGTGAGGGGCCGCCTACACCTTGTCCGTGAGCACTGGGAGGGAGCTGGGGGATCAGGAAGGGACCTCCATCATCCCATATGTGCTGCTGTTTAGGGACCAGCTAGAGGAACTCAACAACCTGGTGTGGGAGAACCTCCAGGTGGCCCAGAGGCGACAGCGCACCTGGTATGATCGGGGTGCCAGGAACCGTAGCTTTCAAATCAGGCAGAAGGTTTTGATTCTGAAACCCGTCCGACATAATAGGCTGCAGGCTGCCTGTAAGGGCCCATATGTAGTGGAACAGAAATGTGACAATACCCATGTGATCTACCCGTGTTCAGATACCAGAGTCCGACACCTGTTGCATGTCAACATGCTGAAGCCCTACCACCAGCGGACTAAGGATGTAGCCGCAATATGTGCTGCAGCCTTGGAAGATTTTGACAATCTTCCTCTGCCTGACCTCCTGGAAGAGGGAGCTCAGTCAGGGTCCATCGATAAGGTCCACTTAGGGGACCGGCTCACAGAAGAAGAATGCCGGCAGGCACAGAGCATGCTGTCGACGAGGAAGGAGACGTTCTCCAACCTGCCCGGGTATACCCCACTAGCCACCCACTGGGTAGAGACTCCTGACCAACAGCCCCTGCGGTACCGGAGGCTGTGCATGGGAACATGCTGCAGGAGCTCCAAGAGATGCTCAGGTTAGTGGTCATCGAACCGTCCCAGAGTCCTTGGGCCTCCCCAGTAGTGCTGGTCCTGAAACGAGACGGGACTACTAGGTTCTCTGTGGACTACAGGAGGCTCAACAACAAGATGGTCTCACATGCGTACCCCATGCTCCGTATAGATGAACTGCTAGATAGGATGCCCAAGTCGGCATTCATCACCCCATTTGGTTTGTACCAATTTAAGGTGATGCCATACTTTATTTTTTCTTTTGTATATATATTCTTTGCTT